CCCCACCCCTGCTCCCCCTGCTCCCCACGCTCCCCACTCCTACTGTTCCTGCTCCCCACTCTGGCCTCCCTCGGCTCTCTGCCTCCCCTCCTCTGCCCAGCCTCCCCCTGCTCTCTCCCTGGTCTTGTTCTGTCATCTGTGTCTCTTGCAACCCTAACAACCCTAGAGGGGCCGGCAGTGGTGGGTGAGGTGGGCAGTGTGTGCCCAGCAACATATGAAGAGACAGACACAGAAGGCCATATCCTGGCCCATCCTGGGGCACCCAAAGAGCTCGGCAGCTGCACTGCCCAGGCCCAAGCGTGTCACCTCTGAACTGTCCCGACATGCCCGTGTGTCATTCGTGAGATGATAACCCAGAGCCAGTGCGGCTTCTCCCAGTGTGGAAAGGGAGGGAGTTGGGGGGCCCGGGCACCCCCACCCTCACCTCCTCAGCACCTTTTCCGCCTCCTTGTCGGTGAGGATCTGCGGGTAGTAGGATCCTGTCCACCTGCTGCTCACTCAGGCGCCCGTGGCCCGTCAGGAAAGGCGTGTCCTGTACCAGCCGGTCACAATAGGTCAGATCTGAAACGCAGGCCACGGGGCATGAGCCAGCGCAGCCGAGGGCGCCGGGGCCATGGCCTGGGGCTGGCCACAGGATGGCAGACACCCAGCCACGTGGCGGGCAGCCTGAGACCCGCCTCGTGGGGCAATGGAAGTGGGCCCGAGCGCAGAGCAGCTGAGAAGGGCCACAACTTCTGCTTCAGTCCTGTACCGGAGCGCTCATCCCGGAAAACACTCAGGACTTTCCACGGGCCACCCGTGGGGCCTCTGGGGAGTGCAGGCAGCAGAGGGAAGGCCTGGACCCAGCCCACAGCTCTCACAGCCCATCTTCCTGGGACCAGCTTCTGCAACGCCTTGAGACTTTCCGCAGCTGCAAACCAGTGACCTCCCAGCCAGAAGTGTCCCTGCCTCTCTCTCTGTCTCTCTAGCAAGCGCACTCACCTTACAACAAAACAAAACAAAAAACCCTCTCTCTTGGAAAAACAAAACAAAACAAAACAGGTCCCATAGGGCCAACTATAGTTCAAGTCCCGGTCCCCAGCAACTTGAAAAACCCACCAGTTGCACGTACATGTTTACCCCACATCCTGATGGGACCAAGTGGCAGAAAGGGAATGGCAGTGTGACCATGGGGGGGGGGTGCTTTCACTCTCTGGCAAGCACACACACCCTCTGGCATAAAAAAAAAAAATTGAATGTATATTTAAAAACAGTTCTAGGCCTTTAAAGCTGAGAAGTGAAGTGAAAGTGGACAATCGACAATCACAGGGGCACTGGATCCCAAGAGGGTCCCCGCCCAGGGACTGAAGAGGAACATCAGCTCATCCCACTCCCCAGGCACACAGGCTGGGCCGTGTTTCACAGAGGTAGTTTCTGTCTGTGATTGGAGGTAAGTTGGTATCAATTCAAGTGGACTGTTCTAACTTTAGGATGTTAATGTAATCTCCATGATAAGGGAATCGAAACCACAAAAATCTAAACATAACAGGAGGCAGTAGTGGAGGAAACGAGGATCTATAAACAGCTGTAAGGTACACAGGAAACAAGAGGAACCTGGCAGGGGTGAGTCACTCTTCTCAGCAACTGCTTTAAATGTAAATAGGTTAAACTCTACAAGCAAAAGTAGGCTGGCAGAATGGAATTTTTTTTTCTATACTGCATGTGTACTTGTCAGAGAGGGACAGAGAGAAAGTGAGAAATCGCTGCCCTGGGGGATGGCCACACTGCAATCCCTTCTCCTCCTTCTTCCTCTCTGGATTTTGAGCACACACGTACACGCGCCCAGCATGTTTTCCAAGCCGTGGGGTCCAGGATTCAAATCGCATAGTTGACTATATGTGATCCAGCCACCCTAACCACTATGCCACTGGCTGGTCCCTAGAACCGATTCTTGAAAATGTGATCCAACTGAGACTAGTAGGGGGCATAGAGGTTAAGGCGCTGGATTCCCACATGATCGATAAACCACAGTTTGAGTCCTAGACCTGGAGGCTTGAAAATCATGCCAGGCACATGTGCATGCATGCCCGGAATCCCAGGAGGAGAATGAAGGAGAAGGGAGTGCAACATGACCACCCCCCCCAGGGTGTGATTTCTTATTTTCCCTCTCTCTGTCTCTCTCTGACGAGCACACCCGCCTGATGGCAAAAACCCAAGGGAAAAAAATCGAATCCAACTCTATGTAGTCTATGAAAGACTCACTTTAGGTCTAAAGACACAAGTAAACTGTAAGTGAAAAAGATGTAAAAAGACCGCCCATACAAAGAGAAAGCAAAAGAGAGCTGAGGTGGCCGTTCTCCTATCAAAGGAGACTTAAGTCAAAACCTTACAGGCGTAAGAGGTAAAAAGCACATCATAAAGTAATTAGAGGGACAATACACCAAGACTACATAACAATTATAACATATATGCATGAAACATCAAAGCCTTCAAATATATGAATCAAACATTGGGAGAATTAAAGGGAAAAATAGATAACTCTGAGATAACACAAAACTTCAGAAAGTTTCTGAAAAAGTAATGGAATTAAAAGATAAGGGGCCAAGAGGTGGCTTGATGGTTAGGGCTCTGGATCCCATATAGCTGATTCCACGGTTTGAGTCCCAGACCTGGCAGCTTGAAAAACACACTGGGCACATCTGCGTGCATGCCCAAAATCCTGAGAAGAGAATGGAAGAGAAGAGATTGAGGCATGGCCATCTCCCCCAGGGGTGGTTTCTCACATTCCCTCTCTCTGTCTCCAGTAAGTACATGTGCCCTGTGGAAAAAAATCTAAAGATAAAAAAGTTTTAAATAAAAATAAAAACTTTTTAAAAAGAATTTTTTATTTAACTTTATTTATTTATTCATTTTAATTTGACCAGAGAGAGACAGGAAAATTGAGAAAGCAAGCTGCCAGAGCCAGGACTCAAACCACAATCAACCACATGGGAGTCTAGCACTCTTAACCACCATGCCACCTGCAGGCCCACCCCCAAACTTTATTTCTCAATATAAACTCCATCAAGTTCAAGGTGCTTTTTTTTGGAGAGGTTTTTGCTATATGGTGCGTGTGCTCACCAGAAAGGCAGAGAGAGACAGAGAGACAGAAAGTGAGGAATCACCCCCCCCCCAGGGGAGATGGCCACGCCGCAATCTCTTCTCCTCCATTCTCCTCTCGGGATCTTGGGCACGCACGCACACACAGGTGGCATGAGCCACCGGGTCCGGGACTCAAACAGCAGTCAACAACGCCGGAGTCCAGCGACATAGCCATTACGCTAACTGCTGGTCCCCAAGGTGCTTTTTTAAAGTGATGATGACAGCCACTTAGTCCATCCCTTAAAAAACCAAGGGTCCTGGGAATTTAACTGTATCAATGCAGTATTTTTACATTTTTTTATTGTCGTTCCTCATTACTTACTACTGTTACACATCTTTGTGGGGTGGAGCATGTTTTTTTTTTCATTTTAGAAAGAGATTTTTGCTCTACAACACGTGCACTCACCAGGCAGACAGAAAGAGAAAGACTGTCCCCCAGGAGGGTGGCATGCCTCAGTCCTTCCTCACCCATGCTCCTCTCGGGGTTTGGGGCATGCACGCACACACGCCTGGTGTGAGTTTTAAGCCAGCCTCCAGGTGTGCGACTCAAACCATGGCCGACCATGTGTGAATCCAGTGTCTTTTTTTTTTTTTTAATCTAATGTTCTATTACCTATACCCTAGTTATGAAGTTCAGAGCCGAATTTCAGCATTAAATACTGACACATACTAAGTTTCAGATATCTATTAACCAGTGTAAATATGAACACATCAAAATGACTTCATGCGGGAACCAGCAGTTAGCGTAACGGCTATGTCGCTGGACTCCCACGTAGTCGACCGCGGTTCTCGTCCCAGACCCGGTAGCTTAAAACTCACGCCGGGCACGTGTGCGTGCGTGCCCAAGATCCCAAGAGGAGAATGGAGGAGAAGGGATTGTGGCGTGACCATCTCCTCTGGGGGGTGATTTCTCGCTTTCTGTCTCTCTGTCTCTCTCTGTCTGTCTGGCGAGTGCATGCGCCCTATAGCGAAAACCTCTCAAAAAAAAAAAAAATGACTTCATGCATTTAGAGGAGAGTATTTCCTGGGTAAGTGGAAACTTGTGCGGATGGCTTCTGGAAGCCCTTCATTATGAGCAGCTTTATAGTGGAACATTTCATTTAAAAGTCTGGGCCTTCTTTCTTCAGTTTGCTGTAATCCACATTCACTGAGTAAAACTTGTACTGATCATTGGGGCCCAGTGTGTTCCAGGGTTCAGGTTATTCCTTCTGTCCCAAGACACAGCAGGATTGAACATTGCCAAACGCATGAGAGGCAGTGCTGCTCCAGTACCTCCAGCTCCAATAAATATAAACAGGGGAATCAAACTCAGATGCTTCTTGGCCTGGCCCAGGATCTGGCGGAGCCTGTTTATGGTGGAGGACTCTGGTTCGAAAGCAGAGAACAAACGTGCCAGGCCAGAGACTGAAAACTCTCACAGAGGTCGAGCGGACACCCAGTCACACAAGACCTCCTACCTGAAGGATGCCCTGAATGCAGGGTCTTCACCGTCACTCCACCTACTGCTCCCTTGTTTTACTAGTTTTTTTTTTTTTTTAAGATTTTATTTAATTTTATTCATTGTCATTATTTTATTTTTGAAGTTAGTCAGAGAGAGATACAGAGAGAGAGAGGGAAAGTGAGAAAGCCAGCTGCCAGGTCTGGGACTCAGACCACAGTCAGCCAGGTGGGAGTCCAGCCATCCTAACCACCACGCCACCTGCTGGCCCCTTACTAGTTTTTTAAGTTGAATTGTCGATGACATTTTTTCCTCTGCTGTAATACACCATTTCATGCCCCATCCCATCTGTTTACATGCATACTCATGTCTGTTCATCCTTTTCTCCCACCGGGTCTGGGACTCGAACCACGGTCAATTACATGGGAGTCCAGTGACGTAACCAATAATCTGCTCGTTCCCCAGAGCATGCCTTTAAAGGCATATATACTGTGCAATAATCAAATCAAGGATGTAAACACACTCATTGCTTCTATGTTTTATTATCACATTATGTTATGAACATTCAATATTCTTTTTTCGAAGAATTATTTAATTTTCATTTATTATTGTTTTCAAAGTTTGCTATCAAGCATGTGCACTCACTCAAGAGAGGCAACGAAGGAAAAGGAAAGTGAGAAAGCATTTATTTTTTATTTACTATTTTTTAAAAATTTGCTATAGATCATGTACACTCACCTGAGAGAGCAAAGGGGAAAGTGAGAAAGCCAGCCGCCAGGTCTGGGACGCGGGCTATGGTGGGCCGCGTGCGGATCCGGCGCCTTAACCACCACTCCACCCACCGGACCCTTGTTTTACTAGTTTTTTACTGAATTGTCAATGACAGTTTTCCTCTGCTGTGACACACTGTCATGCCC